CCCCCCCCCCCCGCGGCCCGCCGGAAACTGCGTAATTTTAAATCGGAATTTCGCGCCTTCCTGGCCCACCTGCCGTGTCCAGCCGCAGGCGGCCTCGCAACCCGGTCTCCCGCGCGCCTCCCCGTGCCCCGGGGCCGGGCCGCCAGGCGCAACACCCCGGGCGGCCCCGGCCGTGGGCCATCATCCTCCGCGCCCCCCAAACGGTGAGGGAGCAAAGTGCGTCCCCGCCCCCGCGCGTGGCTGCCTTTTCCCCTGAGCATCTAAGCCCCCATGCACCGAACCCCACCGGCCCGATCCTTCGCCCCGCCGCTTGTCAACGTGCCCCCGTCCCCGCCCCCCCACTCCCGAGCCCTGGGAGACACAACAAAATCAAAATATCGCCCGTCTCGATCGGCCATTCCCCCCCGCCGACCCCCGCACACACACACACACACCCACCCGAAAGGGGCGGTCCTCGCGAGGCAGACTCGTCGACTTGACGCTTCGCTCCTCCCGGAGAGCCCCCCGCCTCGGACAAACGTGGGGCCCTTCTTCCAAACGGCGAGGTGACGTGGCAGCATGCCCTCGGCATGGGCGTAACCCAGCACAAACACCCTTAACCCAAACAACACGCCAGCCCCGGCACCGGGACCAGGTCACCCGGGCCCGATCACATGCCGGCACTAGCGGCACGACGGGAAGAGCGCACCACGTCTGCCACCGCATCGGAGGCAAACCACGTGCCCAAAGAACAATCACGCGCGCCGCCGGCGGAATGCCCGGCCGCCCGCCGGACCAGGGCCGCCGTTCGGATGTGTTTTCTTGGTGGTCTAGTCGGCCAATGGGGCCTGCGGGTTGGGGGGGGAGGGGGATGAACCACTGTTGCCCTCTCTCTCTCTCTCTCTCTCTCTCTCTCTCTCTCTCTCTCTTTGCCCCGCCCGCCCTTCTCCCGAGAATCGTGTCCCTCTCTGGCGAGGCGCCTCCGGGACGAAGCCCGGGTGTTTGGACCCCCGCCCCCTGACGCGAGGGAGAGCGCGACCGCACACGCAGTTGGATGCCAGTGCATCATCATCCCCGTCGCGCCCCCCCGGCCGCCGGCTGACCCCAACATGGCTGTTCCCCCGCCCCGGTGCCGGGCCAGCGTCCTACGGCGGCGCCGTCGGCACCGCCATCCCATTCTCTTTTTGTTTGTGCCTCCTCCCGCCGGCCCCGCCCTTCTCGACAGCCTCTCTCCCCCTCCCTGTCCCTCCCCTCCCCCCCCTGCCCCACTTGCGCCGGATCCGCCCCTCGCCCCCTCACCATGTGTACTCCCTCCTTCTCTCTATCTATCTATCTATCTCTCTCCCTCTCCCCCCTCCTCCCCGCCGCCCTCTCACCACGCCAAACCCCTCCCCCTCCCCTCGCTCGGCCCAGCTGGCTTTGGCTCCGGAAGCTTTTTCAGCCCCCCCGAAAATGAGAGACTTGTACGCCCTCTTGCGACAGTGCTCGCCTGCGGCGCTTCCTGCCACGGATCCCCTTTCGTCGCGCGCCCTCCCCCTCCTCTGACCACACCCTCGCCCTTCCCTCCGTCGCAGCACACCCGCCGGATCACCCGCGATCCGAACCAGTCCAGCATCGGCCATGAGCCGGTCGAGCCGGAATACACCCCGGTCCGTGCGGCCCCGGCCAATCTCGATC